CTTCTTGGGATGAGCCTGCAAAGGGCGAGAGCAGGCGAGTAGCCACTTCCAGGTTATCTAGGCAGACCCAGAGGTCAGTAGCAAAGCGTGCAGTATGATACTGCATGGCTGCTTTAATACCAGCGAGAGCTGCTTCTGCTTCGGCATCAAAAACCTCTTTATTTGGCCCGAGAGAGAAGGATGATTGGAGACATAGTCTTCCTGTCTGGTATAGAGCAAAACCAGCACCTGCCATTCCACTAGGCAGTTTAGACCCGTCTGTAAAGACTTTCATATCGGTGCTTGGGAGAGAGGAGTAAAAGTCTTGGAAGTTGGTAGCCGCCTGCTCCTTGGATAGTCCGTTAGGTGCCTTTATTCGCAGTTGAGCATCCGCCCGTGACTCCCTCGGGAGCCACGGGGCATATTGCAGCGGGTTTATCTGCTCCGATTCTGGTAGGGCTAGTACTCGGCGTGCAAACCGGCTAGTTGCCCAGCCAGTCTGTACAATTTTTGCTGCCCTCCTGCGCAGGGGGTGGTAAGGGTCTAGGCGACGAACACGGATGGTGGCCGATGTAGCTATGTGGTCAAGCTCAATTTCAGCTGGTAGGAGCCCTGATTCCCGATATAAGGCAGGCAAGGGAGTTGTGCAGTAGACAGGGAGAATTGCCCTAGCACCCGTCTGTATGACCTTGGCTATCTTATCAAGTTGCCCCTGGACCTGGTTTGAGATAGAGCCTGCACGGGGGCAGGGACGCGAGCGACCTGGCCACCAGGTTTCTGCGCCAAAGTAGGCTTTCCGGAGCACACAGGCTATCACAGCCTGCCGCATGAGATATGGCTTGATTCCCCGGACTGTGTTCCCGAGGCCACGGAGGGCATTTGCAACTGTCAGGGCCTTTGAGGTTGCCTCTCTGACATGGTACTTGAAGCTGAGCTTCTTGTCAAAGAGAACCCCTAGCCAACGCAGGTAAGGGCGAGTCGTATTCTCAGAGACTGTGACCTGAAGGGAGAGAGGTGAAGCTATCGCAGAAGATGAAGGGCGGTCATCAGTTAGCCGAAGTCATGTGACACCACGGCGTATCAGGCAGACCAGTGACGCAGTCGTCACACGTTCAAGGGTGTTAGGGATGGAGGGCGGTACCGGAGGCTGGGCGAATTCAGCGCCAGGTGTAGAAGCAGGCGTCTGCTGGCTGTATGAAGCATCAGGGACGAATGGCTGTAGACCATCAGATGGAAGGAAGGGAAAGCTATCTAGAGGGGTATCCTCATAGATAGATGAGGGATAATTATCAGAGAACTGAGAGATTTGACTCTGTGACATGGTAAATAATAGAGTCAGGATGATAGAGAAGGACTGGAAGAGATATACTAGAGGTCAAGTGAGCTAGAACTGAGGGAAATAGGAAAACCTACGAGAATTAGCTGCCAATGCGAGCTGAATGAAGGTGTTGATACATCTATTCTAATATAGACTGGGCTATCTACCTGCGTGTGTGATAATTGGTCAGTGAGGGCCCCTATAGTCAGGTTCCGTTAGGTTCGAACCTGAGTCGAACCTGACGGACCCTGACGGACCCTGATAGAACCTGAATTAGAACCTGAGGAACCTGGCCTGGAACCTGACCTGGAACCTCACCTTGACCCACATGAAGAGTCGTTTCAATCTGATTTTTGCCCAAGTCCTTGACCCCAAGTATATAGTCTTGTTGCTTCCAAGGGATAAACACACAATATACAGAGTAAATATAGGATAAACTGATTGAAAATAGCATTAAAATATCAGTATTCCTATATGAGCTTCCAATTGGCCAGTTTGATTCTAATGATAGTTATTAAAATATATTCAAAGAAATGTTGATCAGGATGGTGGTGGAGTACTCAGTGTAAAATATACATTTCTCACTTCATACACCACATCAACCACAACTTCTACTAGAATTAACTACTAAGAGCCCCAAGGCTACTAAATCTGATCGGATATAACATTTGCTATGCTAAGTATTCTATATACAGATGAATTTCATATAATTTCACAAGGGATATGGTGACATCACGATGTTCATTGATATAGTGACCAGAACAGCGGTAAATTACAGTAGTTACTGTTATTTACACCTGTTTAGAGTTGCATAACCGAACCGCTAAAATCGAATCCAACCCTCACCGAACTCGCAGCGGTGAGGTTCGGTTCCTAGATTGAGAAACCGCACAGGGTCTATATGTATATTATCTGTATATAAAACATTATTCAGCAATGTACAGCTATAGAATTTCAACTGTTTTTTTGTCTTTCCCAGATTAACCAGTGCTTTGAGTTTGCTGGTTTTTTTTTTTTTTTTTTGTCTATGAAACTAGCAAGAGATCTATCCCATGCTTTGAAGATGCGTTGAACGAACTGGGGTGAGATCTTTTAAGAGCCAAACAAAAAGAAGCATTTGCATTGGAGCTGAATTTTGCACAGAAGTAAATGATTATATATATGATCTATCTAGGCATCTATGCATGAAATGAATATTCCCAAAAACAGGGCAAACTATAACACAAGCTCGGCGAAATATATGATATGGTAAATATACAAATGAGGTCAACAATGACGCCATTCCATTCCTCTAGGAACAAACCGAACAGGAACTTTCCCATACATTTTGAAGCTCGTCATATTTCTTCTATCGTCCAGAGCCTTCCATGCATTTTGACACATCGTGCTCCATACGGCATCGGATGGTGTAGACCCCTCGGGCGGTACCAACTCGATCGAGTAATCTTTCAGTAATGTCGCAATCACCGCACAGAATTCCGCCTGTGCAAACCCTTTGCCCAGACAATCGCGATGACCATCGCTGAAGACGATAAAAGCGCCCTTCTGGGGACATAACATATTTGAGTGATGGGTTGAGTGGCTCGCCGAGTTCGTCGGTGGCTTGTACGTCTCATCCATGAGCCAACGTGAAGGGCGGAAAACATTTGCATCTTCCCCCCAGTATCGAGGATTGCGGTGGACGGCCACAACGTCCAGCACAATACTGGTATCCGGGGGGATATCGAATGTTTGGCCATTGTAGTGTGCAATCTGATGTTTGTTGCTGGTCCATTTGGGAATACCGGATATCGCCGGGAATAAGCGGAGGGTTTCCAGCTAGGCAAAGATTAGTGGAAATATTCTTTCTTCTCACTTTACGCAGATGCAGATGGTTATTCACTTACCATCAAGGCCATAACACGTCTCATCTTTGGATAATCTGACTCATAAACGAGTCCTTCGCCTTCCAACTTTCCTCTGTAAATCACATCCAGTTCCTCGTGGATCTCTTGCTGGAGCTCAGGATGCACTGCCAACAGGACCAGAGCCGTTTGTATTGTGGTTGCAGTGGTCTCATGGCCAGCAAGAGTGAATATGAAGACATTTCCTGTGATTTCTTGGTCGTTAAGACCGCCTTTGTCAGAGCCATGGGAGATATCACCGCTATTGATCATATTGCTGAGCAGATCATTTTTCCGGGGTGATTTTTGTTGTTGGTGTTGTAGCTGCTGATTTTTGTATTCTTGCTGCATATTATCCTCAGATCTTGTTTCGTTAATTGCCTGTTGAACATGTTTTGCAAAAATGTCAGGCGCTTTGTGGACTCTTCGCAGATGAGCCGAGGGTGAAAACTTCAGAAACCACGCTGGAAATATCATGAGAAACCAGATCTCATCCACAAATGTCTTCAGACTCTCTGCGAAGGTAACTTTTCGTGTCATCGAAGTTTCTGCTGCATTGGAATCATGACCATGCCATTGCATTTGATGGCCAAATCCTGCAGCGGAAATGATATGCAGAGCCAATTTTGTGACCGAGTTCTCTAAATCGTCGACGGTTATCGCGGATGAGGCTGACTCTCGCTTTTCCCTGCTCTCCTTGGACCAGGAAAGGACCATCGCTTTGGCCTGCTCTTGAGATTCGGTGAAAACAAGGCTGTACTAGATGTCAGAGCTTGAAGAAAATATTTCGAATAGGGACGCATCGAACCTGTTGTTCTTTGGATTGAAGGACCGAACTGTAATCTTCCGATGGAACTGCCACAGCAGGCCTTCGGCCGTGAGCACGTTCTCGCCAAAGAGAAGCAGTTGCGTGTAGTACATGACAGGCTTCGGAAAGTCTTTCCATCGGTGCGTGATCTCGCTGATCAGATCGGCATCGGCAACCCATAGTTGAGGACCGCCAGGTCCCAGCAGCCAGTACACGTCCGATCCGAGTTCCTTGCGCGGCAGTGTCCCCTTGTGCTGCCATGTCCCATCACGAACGGCATATCGCATCCATTTCCCCCAGCCGAAGGGCAGGTATTTGAACAGCGGTGCGATGTAAGGCGAGATCACATAAAGTAAGGGCGAATAACGAGGGGTGTAGATCCGGACACTTGGCAGAGGAGTCGAACCTTCGATGCGCAGTGCTTTTCGGAATGTCAAAATGTACCAGATCGTGTATCTCGATGCGATGGCGAGGAGCACCGACCAACAGATTATTGTCACCACCTCCATGGTCTCGATTTTAATGTTCTTTTGTACAGGAGGTTCGTCATGAGAGAAGTGATCGGAAATAACACTTGCAGAAATAAGCGAGTTTATCAGTTTTATCATTGATTGATTCAACTATCTAAATATATCCTCGAGGGCAGAATCACACCTAAGGCCGATTAAGGAAGAAGCATTGACCATCTGGTAATTATCTTTTTTGTCAGCCGCACTACTAACACTAATTAGTTATTAAGTTAGAAGGATTTCTGTGGATTTCTGCAACCTGGAATTCCTACGTAGTATCAAATGTGGGCCAAGGGTGGATCCAGATGAAGCGGTTCGTTTTAGATGCGGGAAAGTCCTGAAGTCCACTGGTATGGCCATACTTCAGTTGTCTTACAAAGCAAGAGACTGGAAGGCTAGTTCTACTCCGTACTGTCAATGCTTCTACTAATTGGGGTAATTGACATGCCAGTCCAGCCCAGCCCAAGGCCTAAAACACTAATCTAAATCCTATTATGGTACAGTACCTGCTTCTTTGGTCCCCAAACCACGCCCAACAATCCTCAGACTACGTCCCCTGCAACCCCTCCGCCGCGCAACCCGGGATCAATGCAACAACACCACGGGGCTCTGCTGGAACGAGGCGTACCAGTTATGGTGGAGGGAAAGCTGTACCGGAGATCGGGACCGAGCAGCTAGACGGATTCGTGGAGATGCCGTCTAATTTGCCTGATTCTGCGGGCCCGCCGGGGAAGCCAGGGATGGGGATGGGGATTCAGAAGCATGCGATTTATGAGTTGAGTAGTTGAGTTGAGCTCAGTTGAGGGTACAAGGAAGGAGAAGAAAGAAAAAAAAAAGTAATTCTCTTGTAATGTAGTGTAGATATGGTCAGGAAAATGATATAATACGAGCTGCATCATAGGAATAATATATATAATATCGCTCCGCTCCGCTCCGCAATCAACACACCCCTTTAATCATATCCGCCGCCTTCTCCGCAACCGCATATACCAGAGACTGCGGATTCCCGCGTGGAATCAGCGGAAAGATACTCGCATCGACGACACGCACATTCTTCGTGCCGTATACACGCAGATTCGGATCCACAACCCCACCCTGCTCGCGCGGGAGCATGCTGCATGTTGCGCAGGGGTGCCACTCGAGCGAATTGTACCGTTTGGCGCGGTATTCGGCTGGCTTATCCTCTAGTCCCGGGTAGTATACTCTCCCCTTATCCTTCAGCAGCGAGGCGAGCGGCTCCGTTTGACCCACCTTCTCCATGAATGTGACGTGCTTCGACAACAGCTCGATGTCCAGCGGGTGAGACAGCACATTTGGGTCGATTGTCGGAGCAGCGGTGGGGTCTTTGGAGGATGCGTGGATCGAACCCCGCGAGAAGGGCCGTGTGATAGAACTCAGCAAGGTAATGTAGGCTCCCGGGTGTCTTCCCATGAAGGTACTCGACATGTTCTGCACGGGGTAAGCGGTCTCGCTGAAGTCGACCTGCGCCGGGACGATGCGAATCTGAGCTCCTGCTTCTTCGGGATTGAGGAGCAGGTCCGTAAGGGTTTGGTATTGTTTCTCGAGACCCGGTTTTTGGGGAGGTGTTTGCTCCAGAGCGCGCTCGATTCGGGTTTGAAGCCCGTTCCTCTCGTCGGCGGGTAGGTAATCGGCACAGCTGAGATAGGCGAGGTTGGAGATGCCCCCCACGGACAGTGGACCAGTGCGGGATCTTTTATATTCTTCCATCGCCGCTTGGAAATGAGACGGGTCGCGCAGGTCGGGACCCAGGAGGACTGGGTCTTCGACCTCGAACATATGCGCGGCGCCGATATGGTCCTGAAGGTTCTCGCCGACATTGTCGTTTTCAACGAGGACCTCGACTCCGATCGACTCGAGGACGGAACGAGACCCGATCCCGGAGAGTTCGAGAAGCTGGGGAGATCCCAGAGTGCCTCCGCAGAGGAGCACTTCGTGGTTTGCGGAAACAACATGTGATGTGCCATTGTGTGTGAATTCGACACCGACGGCCTTCAGGTCGGTTTCCTTGACACCATCCTTCTCAAAAATGATCCTCGTGCTGATGGCCCCCGTCAAAACGGAGAGATTCTTCCGGTGCGCATTGGGCAGATAATATGCGGTGACCGCATAACTTCTCGTGCGCGATGTCGGATCGACAGAATGCAGGTGCGTATATGCACCCATGGCAATTCCCTTCTTGGGATCCCCGCTGAGTTTGCACCCCAAATTCTCCATCGTCGGCTTCCACACTTCGTTGAATGGGCCCGAGACCTGGGTGAAGCACATCTGGATGGGACCGTCGTGCCCATGCGCATCCCGTTCCACGTACGCGCTGTTCAATGCGGCTGTCGTGCCCTCGGCCGGGGGATGGTACGTCTCCGACTTGAGGAAGTAATGGAACAGCTCGTCCCAGGACCAGCCCGGGTTGCCCAGGGCGCCCCAACTGTCGATCTCCCGTTTCGACGGATAGGTCATGACCCCGAAGTTGAGCATGCTGCAGCCGCCTAGACCTCTGCCGCGGGGCCATGCGAAGACGTGGTCGAGGGAGTGTTTCTGTTGATTTGTTTAGTCCTTTTGAAATAATGAAAAACTGAGCATGTAGGTTGTAGTCACAGGATTATGCTGCTCACCTGTGGAACGGTTTTAAAGCCCCAGTCATACTCCGGATCATCATACAACGAGACAGCCAGGCCGGGAGTCATGACCCGAGGATCATTCAGATGCGCTTCGCCAGCTTCAAGGACAGCTACTGTCACGCTGGGATTCTCGGAGAGCCGTGCTGCCAGCGTGAGGCCGGCGGTGCCGCCACCGACGATTACGTAGTCGTAGGGCTTGGCCGTGATTTCATCTGCGACTGCTGACATGGTGGTGGGAATCGTTTCTCAAACTTATCTTGGGAATAAGCGTAGGGGAGAGAAGGCGGGGTGACAAAAATAAGAAAGAAACATAGCCATCTGTCCCTTGTGTGGGGTTTAAATTGCTATAAATGGTATCAGGTTGGAGTACTGTTGTGTGGCATTCTTTTGCAGCTGAAACATCTCTTGGGGAACATCCTCTGTACATGCGGTGTGTACTGTGGAAAGAGGCTGTACACTCGCCCGGCGAGATGCCCTAACGTCAGCCAGAGAATCCACCATAGCTACTACCTATTTTGGCAGAAGCATTGACCATAAGTTAATCGTCGGCTCCACCGCGTCCAAACTTGAATTTGGTCAAACTCGAGTATTCCTTCGGAGGGTCCACCATGGCTAATTGGGCAGGAGCTCGGATCTCATCCCTCTAGGTATAAGATTAAATGATGCTAATCTCATGATCAACTTTGTACTCGCAGTGTTCCTTTCTCCTTGACTATAACTTGGCATTCTGTCTCAGAGACTAACATGACAATAAAAGTTGCAATTGTCGGAGCCGGTGCGTATTCCTCATCCGATCGCAATGAGCAGCAGACTTATTATACCACGAGAGAGTTTCCAGGCATTTCGGGCCTTGCTACAGCTAAGCAATGCCTTGCGGAAGGATTCTTGGTGACTGTTTTCGAAGCCCGCGACAACATCGGCGGCCAGTGGTACTATGAAGAACCTGACCCTGCCACCAGCGAGGCCCAGTCCTCCATGTACGAGGGCACCATTTCCAACACGTGCCGCGACACATCGAGTTTCAGTGATTTTCCCATGGATCCAGCGCGGTACCCGGATTTCTACGGCCATCGGTCTTCCCTGCAGTATCTCCATGAATATGCGGATTACTTCGGGCTCAAGCAGCACATCCTGTTCAACACGAAGGTCGTTTCATGTCAGCAGGTGGAAGACAATCGATGGAAGATCCAATACACAACAAAACACCAAGAGCCAAGGGAAACAGTCTACGACGCTGTTTTGGTATGCTCCGGCAAGAGCACCAAACCACACATCCCGGCGTTCAAGGGGATGGAAAGTTTTCAGGGGCGGATCTTCCACAGTCATATTTATCGCCGACCAGAAGGGTTCAGTGGGAAGAGAGTCGCGATTATCGGATTCAGTAACTCTGCCGCCGACATTGCGTCCGAAATCTGCGGGCAGACGGAGGAATGCCATCTGGTGACGAGAAGAGGAGGGTGGGTGTTACCACGGTACATATTCGGCAAGTCGATACATGCATGGAATAGTGAGTTTCGTTTCTATATAACCCTAACTCACTCTGTTGATCCGACCTGACCTGAACGACTGAACCAACCAGGCCGGTTCTCGCAATCGGTGCTCCCGGCATCCATCTCGAAATGGAGCCTCACAACGCTCATCCAGCTCGTCGAGGGGAAACTGCCACCGGAACTGCAACCGGAGCACGACATTCTGGGAGCGAATCCTGCAATCCATTCTAGCCTGATCGAGAATATCAAAGTGGGACGAATCACCCCTCACCGCGCCAGTGTGGGAGAGATTACCGCCACGGGATTGTCTCTGACGAATGGAGAGACAATCAACAATCTGGACGCAATCATACTCTGTACCGGATACGACATCGACTACCCATTTCTCTCCGAAGACTGCTATCGCTCCAAACACAGCAAGTTCATGGACTCGCCAAACTCGGTGCATCTATACCGATTGACCGTTTCTCCCCATATCCGCAATCTATTTATCATGGGCGTGTTTCAACTACCCGGGCCGATTCAGCCCGCCGTGGAATTGCAGGCGCGATGGGTCACTGCGATATTAACGGGGAGGATCAAGCTTCCACCGGCTGAACGGATGTCCGAATTGATCGCATCTGAAGAGGAGGAACGGGCCAGACAGGTAACTTTCTTTCCTTTGCCTTCGAAAGAAGGTCAAGTTTACTAACATATCACTCCCACAACAGTGGATCCAATCCGACCGACACACCGTCTCCGCCCACTTCCTCCCATACTGTGACTCGCTGGCCAACGATCTCGGCGCAGCGCCGACCTTCGGACGCCTCCTCTCGCGGATCTTCAGCTTCTCCTCGAATCCAATCCGTGCGATTCCCATTCTCCACGCGGTGTATTTCGGGATGTGCTCGAGTGCGCAATATCGGCTCTTCGGGGACGGGAGCAAGCCTGAAATCGCAACAGCTACCATTCTCAGGCTTGCGAGAGGTGGAAAACAATTGAGTGAGGAGGAAAAGATTGCTTTAACTAAGAAGAGCGAGGGTACAAGTGCAAGTGCCGTTTCCCATGTCGATAATATCATTGTGGATGATGCGAAGGATGCGAAGGGAGTCTAGTCTTGCATACAAGGTATCAGATTACTGTATTTATTCTCATAGGCCTATGTATGTAGGTATTTAGTATAATGTATAGTAGGAAATGGTCTTTTAAACCAATTAATAAGAAAAGAACAAGAATATCGTGTCTTGCTAGCTGAGTTACCTACATACTGTAGTAACTAAGGTACCTTATGTAACTACCTAGTGCTCTGGGCCAACTACTGTAAAAACCACACGACATGGGTAGTGGGGGAGACGACAACGCAGAGTTACCTATGTAATCATTCACTGCTGCCTGTATACCTACCTAGTTATATGACCTCAAGTGGTGGAGTTGACTACCATAGGTATGATTTTTCACGTAGGGTCACCGCAGGGACGGGATATTCCCATGGGAAATTTGGGATGGAGAAATCGGGATGAAGATTGAAAATTCTATGGGAAAGGGAAAGGGATGGGAATGCCAAGACTTTCCCGATGGGATACCATATTAAGCTTTTGGTCCCATCCCATCGAAAGGGGAATTTCCCGTTTCCCTCCCCATTTTCATGGGATAATCCCGAATTCCCATGGGATATGAACGGGTCCGTTACTAGTAAATGGTTGTAGCCCCCATCTTCTCCAGATTATAACCGTTTATGTACGCATAGCTGCAGTTGATTAAAAAAAAAAGCTTAAAACTTTCTTTACCTTACCTTATTCCCTCATTATTACTGGTAACCTTCGGCCACTTTCCGCAAGCAACTAAACCATCATGAGAAAGAAAAGTCGGAGCGTCGGAAAGAAGATTAATCCGATGTGAAGATCATCTACCTACACAGGACAGTAACACCAGATAAACCCCTTTCCCTGTATATATATATATATGCAATCTAGACGACGAGTCATACAATACACATATGTATACATATATATATAGGGGTGTATTTTCTACTACATATCTACTAAGTCCTATGCTCCGCCTGTGCTTCATGTAATCATGTTTCAACAGCACCACCATATGAAAAAAGAGAGATAATTAACTAGCGGGTGACTATACCGAAACTTACTAATTAATTGGGCGCCACAAGGACCCCAAGCGCCAGGGTTCACAATTTAGGTACTTTGGCAACCAACGTTGTATACTCTGTATATACCACGTAGTATACATACATAGTATGTGATGGGTTTGATTCACAGATCCTTTGGCGATCGTTTCCTTCCATGATGGAATTCGGAATCTTGGCCGTTGACACGACACTGCGGCGGGGTTCAAAGATCGATACCTAGAGGTAGGAGGTAGCTAGCTAGTGGGGTCTAGCGTTGAGTTAAAGAGACGAGTTTTTTGGCTTTATGGAGGCAAAGCCCTCTCCACATCCATGTCCAACGTTCACTCTTAAATCTTCTGACGTCTCCATCTCCATCTCCTATTCTGCATATGAAAGAAGAGCTACAACTACAACAACCATCCCTACTGTAGAAAAATGGACAAGTCAGATCGATTCATCTTCATCAATGGCCCCCGCCTGGTGTCCATGGGCACCATCAAGGACCGTCGCCGGATCCGGTCCCAACTGATGCGGCGCGTCTTTCTAGAGAGAATGCCGCCAGAGGAGCGATCTCAAGAGCTGCTGAATCCGCATGTGGACGAATCGATCGACGAATTTGCACTCAGCATGCGGGGGTATCACCACCAGCTAGCGTCGTCTCACAGGTTGAAAACGACCACGCGATCAAGACAGGCACAACTGCTGAATTCAACAAAGTCCGGCCTAGCGAGCAGCAGCAACGGTGATCGGTCTTGCTGTGCCTTTTGCAGCGCGATCATCAAAGCAGGGCATGAGACAGGCACGAGCACCGTCTGTAACCAATGCCGCGAAGCAGTGGACATGGCCATCAACACTCGCCACAACAGTGTGATCCACAAGACCAAGCGCGATATCAACCGCATTGTGCATCTGCACTTGACCCGTCTCGCAGACGGACAGATAGATCCGTTTGGAGGACCCGCGAACGGACGCGGCGATCCGGGGTATTACCAGTTGCTGGATCATTGTAGGGCTGCGTCTTCCGCAACCTCATCTTCGTCCTCACCTAAGTATTTGAAACTGACTGACAATTCCAGTCTTCACAACCCTCGTCCCATCTCTCCGCCGCACTCACGCCTGGATCGAGGGATGCTTCGAGGCCTACCTCAAGGGGACATGGTCCCCCCTATTATTCCACTCAACCTGCATGGCCGCGTCGGTCCATCTCGAACGCACGGCCCAGAACCACGGAGCCATCCACTACCCCAGCCGCGCAACGGAACAGCTCTATCACAAGGGCGCCGCGCTGCGAGCGCTCCAGTCAGCCATTACAGGACCGATCATCGGGACGCGCACCCTCGACGAGATTATCCTGTGTATCTGTTTTCTGGCGGTACACGATGATATCCAAGAATCGCTGGCCAAGGACTATAACCCGTTCAACCCGCCTCTGCAAGACCTGCAGGGTCTAGATTTCTACGGGTTCAGCTCCTTCCATGGCGTGCATTGGAATGCGATCCGGCAGTTGGTGATGCGGAATGGGGGGTTGCATACAGTGAAACTGTACGGGGCGCCGTGGTTTCTGTCCTAGTAAGTACTGTACTAAGCAGCAGATGTCTTCTTCTGAGTCAGGATATAAAACCGGAATACTCATC